ACTTGAAATCCATCTCTATCCATCTCTGAACTCTCCTTCTTTGCTGTCTTCATTTTTAGACAAGATTTTCTTGAATAGTAGCAGTGCTATCTCTCATCAATTCTGGATGTCACTCTAATCATTTGACAGTGAGTTTTAAAAAGAAAAAAAAAGAGGGTCTTTCTCCCAATATTCCAGTAAAAGTTCCAGTGTAAACTCTAATTTGACTCAGTTTGGGTGACAAACCCATCCCTAAACTAATCACTGTGGCAGGAGTTTGCAATGTCCTAATTGGCTAAACTGGGTCCCAAGATCTGGGGTTGGGATGAACCCCACCTGAATGATCTGGACCGAGATTGGTGGTGAAAATTATTTTACCTTCAAAGTGGGTCAAAGGGTATGGTGAAAGGGAGGCAAGTAGAACCAACAGAGAGCCATCATCAGGACTTTCTAATGTCCTGAGGAGGGACATTAGAGGGATGCTGATGGGAGGTTCCAGAGGAGGAACTGATGAGCCCAGTCTCAGGCTTTGAGGACAGTCTTCATCACGCCTTTCCACTGTCCGTGGTTCTCAACACAGGCCCCTCTTTCCTCTGAATCTCTCTCAAGGAAGCAGAGGAACTTTAGGGAGGGAGTGGAAGGGCACGTGGCAGCCGGATCTTCCGAGTTGTGCCAGTGGTAAATAGTCCATGTGTTGGAGTCGTGTGGGGGACCTTCTGTCGCCCAAGCAGCCGGATCGTGAGACATTTGCAAAGATGTTAACCCCACGTAAGAAGTATGCCATTCGATAATTATGTAGATTAGCTGGCAATTAGATAATGTCACTCACTTTCCCTCTCCTGCTCGGTTCTCAGCAGACAAGCATTTTGAGCTTCTGCACCAGCCTGGGCCTTCCACATAGGCATTAGAGCAAATTCCCTGCCCCTGTGGCTGTCTGGGCCCTCCTGTGGCTCAAGAGAGGGGAGCAGTTGGCTGACCGGTGGCCTGACTCCCATTTCCCCATTTCTCGAGCCTAGCACAGCCCTGGCAGAGGGTTAAAGAAGACTTAAGGGTGAATGCTTGTGGCAGTTGGCTTGAGGCCTGTGATATTAAATGGAAGGTCATTTCCAGCCTGGGCCACTGCAACAATTTCCCAGCGGTCACAGGAATGTCCACTGTCCAAGAAAGCAATGCAAGAGCTTTAGGAGAGAATTTTGGTGGTCCATAGGGCATCGAGTCTAGGTCAACCTGATTCTGATGCTACCAGTCCTGAAATCAGATTCTGCCTGGTGCCTGTGGAGGGGAAAGAAAGCTTGGTTTTCCTGTTAGCCTTTCTGATTCCCCACGATGCAGGCAGGGGACTGCTGGTATCTCTAGTGCTGGTCTGGACAGGAGGGGAGGATGGCCAATCTGATGAACAAGGCTCAGCAGGCAGGGTTGAGTGACCACCCCAAAGCAGACGGGGTAAATTCCCATGATTCTCTGCACAGGGAGTGGTCCTGGGCAGCCTACTTCCTAACTCATGTATTACCCCAGATCACTTGGCATGTGCTGCTTTGTCCTGAGGGGTCATCTGAGCCTGGCACTCAGGAATCCTGGAGGTGCAGGATTGCTGTCATTGTATGAAGCAGAGAGGTGTGGAGGCCACTGTATGAGACACAGATGACCCTCAGAGATGCGCTTCAGTTTCTGGTTTCACTGTTCATTCTTTCTACACATGTGTCTGGAGTTCCCACTCTATGGGAGCCAAGGTCCTATGGCTGCACCAGGGTGAAGCAGTCTGTGCCCCCAGGGAGATTTCATAGCGTGGACTCCTTTTTTGTTCTGCTTTCGTCTCTAAAGTACACTCTGCCCCCACTACTTTGTGATGCCCCTAAGGCAAGAACCATGTCTTCTTCTGCTTAGAGCCAGGAGTGACTGGATGGATCGGAGCTCAATAAGTAGTCAGATTGAACTGAGAAAGTCATTTAATTTCTGCAGACACACAAGTGACTTTCTGAGGCCCAGAGGGTTGACATCTAGATCAGTCCGAAAGCTTTCAGGGCCATCCATTTAGAGGGACTCGCATGTGCCTGCTCATCCATGTCAGCGGGCCCTCCGTCTGCATGCCCTTGCCTTCCAGCAAGGGGGTCCCACTGGCTGAAGCCACCTGAACCTGGCCCTTGCCTGAGCTAGACTCCTAGGTCTAGACTGGCAGGAGGGGAAGTAGAGAAGGAGTTGTGGCAGCCAGGGGTGATGTCACTGAGAAAACACTTTCCCAAGCCTCTGGAACTCAGACATCGTGGGCTCCATCCGTGCCATGTGATTTTTACATTCTCGGTTCACTGATGTTTCCCGGCGTGGGATACTTCGTTGGAGAGACCTGGGCCTTGTGCTCGTCATGTCTGCCTTGCTCCCCACTCTTCTAGATCAGATGCATGATGGAGGGGGCGATAGGAGAGCAGCTGTCCTTTGCGCACATTCCCTAAAAGTGGTCCTTTTAAAAAATTTGATTAAAAAATTCAGGATGGGGAGCACATGTACACCCATGGCTGATTCATGTCACTGTATGGCAAAAACCACTAAAATATTGTAAAGTAATTAGCCTCCAATTAAAATAAATTAATTTTTAAAAATTTGATTAAAAAATTATGTATACATGGCAGATATTAGGACCAGAAGAAGCCCTCTTTGGGCACAAGGGTCTCCCTTCTCCCCCTGGGATGTTGCCTCTCGTCTTGCTTGGCATAATTTACCCCATATAGCAATCACCTTCCAAGAGACCGGGTCATCTCTCATTTCCTAGCCATGTGACGCCCACCTCTGGCTTCCTGTCTTCCACTCCAACAGCACCAACCTCCTTGCTGTTCTTCAAACATAACTGCCTGCTCCAGCCTCAAGGCCTTTTGCACTATTCCTTCTGGAACCTTCTTCCCAGACATTTACATAGCTAGTTCTCTCATCCTCTTTCAAGGATTTCCTTAAATCTCATCTTCTCAGATTCTGATTTGTGCTGTTTGCCTATTTCTGTGGTGTAAATATTCTAGCATAGGTGATTTCGTGCTACCAAAGTGTCATCAACTAGCTCAAAAATTGCTGATTTTTTTTTTTTTTTTTTTGCGGGCTCTTAGGCACGCGGGCTCAGTAGTCGCAGCTCACAAGCTCCAGAGTGTGGGCTCAGGATTTGTGGCGCACGGGCTTTAGTTGCCTGGGGCTTGTGGAATCTTTCCAGACCAGGGATCCATCCTGCCTCCCCTGTATCTGCAGGCAGATTCTTATCCACTGTACCACCATGCATGCATGCTAAGTCACTTACAGTCATGGACACCTCTTTGCGACCCTCTGGTCTGTAGCCTGCCAGGCTTCTCTGTCCATGGGATTCTCCAGGCAAGAATGCTGGAGTGGGCTGCCATGCCCTCCTCCAGGGGATCTTTCCGACCCAGGGATTGAACTCATGTCTCTTGCAGCACCTGCATTGCAGGTGGATTCTTTTACCTGTTGAGTCACCAGGGAAGCCCCAGGGAGGTCCACAAATTGCTGGTATTTTAAAAGTTGGTTTGGCTTGTGCCTGTGTGAAGCCTGCATGAGTTGGCACATGCTATGCTCATGTTCCAGTTAAGAATTCCTCACATCCCAGGAGGTGCCCATGCCACACTTTGGGAAACACTGAGTGTACAGGACGTTTTATCCACAGAGGCTTTCCTTATAATGGATTTAATCAGCCTCTTTTTGGGTGGGCTTGTGTGTTCACTGGAAATAGGTGTTTGTTCCCACTTAAGAACAGCGTTTTCCTCTTCAAAGCCCGAGTAATAACTAGCTTTGCTAATGCAGCCATCATAAAAATAGTAGACAGTGGTCTGATAGCGACCATGGTGAATTATCAAGCATGCCAATTAATAGGCAGCAACTTGCATAACTCTTGAAAATTACACTCATTGCTCTCATGCGAACAGAGAAGTCTCCTCTCAGCTCTGTGACCAGAGTCTGCCTTCAGTCTGCCACCTCTTAACTGGGTGCTGGTGTCTTTACAATCAGTATGAAGCATGCATGATATGCTCGAGGTCTGTGACATTCCTTAACTATTCATTTGTTGTCCATTCTGCTGTTTTTTTTTTTAATTTAAAAATGTATGTTTTAAATACTGTCCCCACTTTGCAGACATACACACACTCACACGTGCAGACATACACCAGCCATCCCCCCTTCTCATCCTTCCTATCTAGAAATAAGGAAGGAAAGAGGTAGCATTCATTGTTCACCTACTGTGGCTATAGCCTCATGCTAGAATCTTCTAATAGATGATCGCATCGAATTCTGTCTCCAACTTTGTAAAAAGGTTGTTATTTTCTCTATGAGTGAGAAACTAGAAGCTCAAATAAGTTAAGAAATTTTCTCAAAGTTCCATATACAAGAACTAGGATATACTCAGCCTTTTTTTTTTAAAGGTTCAAAGCACAATTTTTTTTCCCCCACAAGACCTTTTCTCCAACATTTAGTTAAGAGATGAGTGTTTTTTGCTCATTACTCACCTTCTAGTTTATTCTCACTGACTCCTATAAATAATTCCTTCAAAAATGTAAAGGTGAGGATCTGTCTTCGGCTGCCTACACCAAACATTGGGTTGGCAAAGTGAAAAAGAAAATCTAAAACAAACAAACAAAAAATCACTGTCATGTTCATGTCTTTTAATAGGTAAACAAGTTAAAACTGCATGTGTGTATTTGAGTATCTAAAATGTTAGCACGTACCTGAAAAATAAATTTTGGCCACGTGACCCTGCGATATGAATATTGTAAAAATGTGCTGATATGGCTTGGCGGGTTTGATACTCTTTTGCACATGGAAAAACTGAGTGCATCATTAGGAGCTGAGCTCGGGTCCTGACGTGGCTCTGAAAGACCACGGGCCCTCCGTCCTGCTTAAAGCACCAAGCGCTCTGGGACTCACTAGAGTAGCCGGGCTCGCAGTCAGCACTCCATCAATATTTGTGAAATAGGATGCAGTGTTTTCCTGACACGGGGCCCTAATCTTCCTTTCCTTCTCCCCCCGTCTCCTTCCTGCAGGTCTTTTCTCTGGAGTCCTGGGAGGCAGGTTCCGGGCCGGACCGCCTCTCCCTGGCACCATGACGCCTGAGCCCACTTCCGTTCGGCCCCGGGCCCTGCTCTGCCTGAGCTCTCAACTTCTGGCTCCTGCCCTCCCTGCGGCCCTCTGCTGCTAGGAGGTCGACCTTCAGGACTGGTCCTTGGCCCGTTTCTACCTTGCGACTGGCTCACCTGACTGCTCGCTCCCCCTGCATCACGGCCCCCTGACCCCAGCCCTCTCCCCGGCCTCCCTGGCTGGGTCGTTTGGGGGTCTGCTGCCGGGAGGTGGACATTCCTGAAGGCTTTCACCCGCCGGCCGGCCCGCCGTGTACTTTTCTCCTGCCCAAATCAAGGCCTCCACATTGGATAGCTGAGATCTCTTCTGGGAGAAGGACACTCGGCTCCCCACTCTGCACCCTCACTTTCCCCTGCCCGCCAGACTGACCGCCTCCACTGCTGCCCCATCCTCCCCCCGCTGCCTCCTTGCTGAATTTCTTGCTCGCGGGTGCCCACCAGGGGCTTTCTGGTTCTCGCTCCTCCTTCCTCATCCTCCTGTCTGTCTGTGTGCCTCCTCGCTCGTGTGTGTGCTCTGTCCCCCAGCCATCTCCCCTTCCTCTCCGCCTCCCACTTCAAAGGAGGTGGGGCGGGGGGACTGTCCCCCGAGGGCCGTTCCCCACCTCCGGCCCGTCGGGCTTGGCCAGAATGAGCTTCACCATGCACTCGGTGTTCTTCACCTTGAAGGTGAGCCTCCTGCTGGGGTCCCTGCTGGGGCTCTGCCTGGGCCTGGAGTTCATGGGCCTCCCCAACCAGTGGGCGCGCTACCTCCGCTGGGACGCCAGCACGCGCAGTGACCTCAGCTTCCAGCTCAAGACCAACGTGTCCGCGGGGCTGCTGCTCTACCTGGACGACGGCGGCGTCTGCGACTTCCTCTGCCTCTCCCTGGTGGACGGGCGCGTGCAGCTGCGTCTCAGCATGGACTGCGCGGAGACCGCCGTGCTGTCCGGCGCGCGGGTGGACGACAGCAGCTGGCACTTCGTCATGGTGAGCCGCGACCGCCTGCGCACCGTGCTGGTGCTCGACGGCGAGGGCCGGGCCGCCGAGCTGCAGCCCCGGCGGCCCTACATGGACGTGGTCAGCGACCTGTTCCTGGGCGGCGTCCCCGCCGACATCCGGCCGTCTGCCCTGACCCTCGACGGAGTGCAGGCTGTGCCCGGCTTCAAGGGATTAATCTCGGATCTCAAGTACGGCAGCTCAGAGCCCCGGCTTCTGGGGAGCCAGGGTGTCCAGTTGGATGCCGAGGGGCCCTGCGGTGAGCGCCCCTGTGAAAATGGCGGCATCTGCTTTCTCCTGGATGGACACCCCACCTGTGACTGTTCTACCACCGGCTATGGCGGCAAGCTGTGCTCGGAAGGTAAGGGTCCCCTTCCCTACCCCTCTGAGGCTCGAGCCCACTCCAGACGGCTTGGGTAAGGATCCAGACCCCCTGGAGGGAAGCCACGTATATCATTGACCGGCCTCTTTAGCTGCCGGTCAGATAATTGGGTCTCTTTCCCCGAGGGTGTGGTAGAAATCCTTGGCTTTCTCTCAATGGAAAAATCCATCAGATCTCAGCAGGAGAGAATCCTGACTGCTCAACCACGGGCTCTTTCCTTACACAAATGTTTGGCTCTACTCAAAAAGCTGGATAGAGTCGAGTACAGGATCTGAGTCCCACTTCAGCTCTTTCCACCATAGTGAAGCTTGGAAGGATCAGTACAAGGTGAGATGTCAGATAGAAAGGGGCAAAGTGGCTGTCTATGGCCCTCCTGATGCCTTGAGAATTGGGCCCTTGGGAATAGACGGGATGCTCCGAATCACTTTCTCCTTATTCTCCCTAACATAAGGAATGCCCGTGCAGAGAAGAATGAGGGTTGATAATCTGCCGGTCCACACCCAGCCCTGCTCTAAACCCAGCCCTTCAGCTATGCCCCTCCTCCCAGTCTTCTGGAAGGTGTCTGATGGGTAGACAGGGATTTTTGGGGGGATGGGACTTCTCGCCTCCTCCTACTAACACCCCCAGGTGATTCCATTGTGCAGCTAAAGTTGGGAACCAACAGGTCAAGGTAGGTGGGGCCAGGTGAGTGTCTTAGCGCAGATTCCCACAAGCTCTTCACTCAGGGGATGCCCCACTGCCTTGGGATTTGTAATTAAAAATAGTGTCTGCAGGTGTTCCTTACACTTTCCCTGAAACCACCCAACTCCTAAAGCAGGCTATGGTTGATACGAGCATTAGCAACTAGCAGGTATTAAGACATTTCTTTAAATCAAAGCAAAGTTTATTTCACAGGTGATACATGCTGGAGACCAGGACCCTCTGGGGATCTTGTTGAGAGCCTGCTTGTGGGTCAAGTATGTGGGCTATTGCAAAAGTGCTTCTTTCCTGTTCTGTGCCTGCCACCACACCTCCCTTCTTGTGGGTGGGCTGACAGAGAGGGAGATGCAAGACATGCCAGAAGTCCTTTTTTGACCTCTGTTATTCCTCACTGAGTCCACTGGAGGAGGGATGGGGCAGAGGGGTAGAGGCAACCCCAACCCACAGAGTCACCTGGGGACAGTGGTTACTGAAGCGCTTACCACAAGCGGGTCCCCCTGGAACTGACTGCTGTCCAGAGTTTCTGCGCTCTGGAGAAAGTTCTTCCTGAAGGCTGACACGAACACTTGTTTTCGCCTTCGCCCAAAGGATCTGTTCTGTTCTCAGAACTGGCATTGGAAGCTGGCATTCTTCCTTTCTAGGGCCCAGAGTGTTTGCAAGTGTGTTGTTAACTTGCTGATTATCCCTGATTGCATTTTTTGTGTTTAAAAAGAACTCATTTCCTCTGGGCAGGTTTGGATCAGCACTTTTCTGCAGGAAGAAATCTCTATACTGTATATGTATACAATTTCTTCTCTCTCTCTCTCTCTTTTTTTTTTTTGGTTTGGGTGTGTGTGTATGTTTGTTTGAGGTCTCCAGAGGAATTTCTTCAGAGTAGATGATAAGCAGTCAATTTTTTAATACCTAAATACAATATATATATATTTTTAATGATAGTTTTTTTTCTATAGGGTCAGACCATCTAGTGGCTATGGACTGATGTCCCTATCTGTAGAAGGCAAACACAGCATATTTCATTATTCTCATGGTACATAATATAGTAAGCAAACTTAGTATTAACTACACTACACTAACAACTAACACTTGGTTGGTTTGGAGCAGCGCAATGGCTGAGGTAAGGGTGGATGTTGGGGGAGGTACCAGCATTTACTGTTGGTGACTTGAAGCCTGTTGCTCCTGGTAATTGTCATTATGTCTAATCAATCACAAAGATGCATTTCACGCTTTTAGAAAATATCCGTTCTCTCCACACAGTTAATTTTTAGAGTAAGCAGGGGGAAAACTCACCTGTAAAATATGAAGGGGAAAAAACACCCACAGCAGCTGCTGAGTGTCAAGCCAATCTGCATAAAACAAGACAAACAGCCTAAACAAATACCTGCCCGTTTTCCTAAAGACAGTGTAAAGCAGGCAGTGAGGGTGCCTCTCTTGCCTTGTCTCTCGCCCACTTTAAATTGCAAATGTCACAGAACTGAAACCCCCTGGGGGACTTGGTCCCAGCAGTGGGTCCTGTGTACCAAGCCTCTGATCATCCCACTTTGCAGGATGGGCTGTGCTGTTTGATTGTGTGAGGGCTTCATGCTTTAGCAGTTCAAGGGCAGGAAGAGCTGGGAGGGTTCCTGCAGCTTCACATGGATGCAGTCGGGGCCTGTTGGAGGCGCTCTCTTCGGTCCATTAGCTTCTTGCATTCTAGCAGTATTGATGTTTGCTTGGCCTGTCTGGCTTTCCATGCCTCAGTGGCTCGGAAATGTCTCCATCCTGCACCCCAGGAAGAACGCACTGCTGGGCCCATCTCTTCTATTTGCTTTGGGCGATTTTGACCTCCCATTGGGTATCTTTTCTAGGTAAGACCCACAAGATCCCGGAGATAGTTGCTATGGGAGAGTTGGGTTTGGGGAGGGGGGACGAGTTATGGACACAGTTATCTTCTGTTTCCTGTGGCGAAAGGCTTTGGCTTCAGACTGAACCCCTCACAGCCTACTTGGGGAAACTTCATCCCAAGACTCCCAAACCAGCTAATGGTCACATTGAACATTCTGACACATGATGGAGAGAGAGGGGCTGGTCCTGGACTTTTCTTTTTTTTTCTTCTAGGTTGTTATGTTTATAAATCAAATGTTTGGGTTTTCAACTTCAGATTTGTTCAAGATGACTTTTAATCTTGCCCCCAAATGACTTTAAAATTAATGCATATCTGGTTCAGAATATAATCCCCCTGTGGTGGGACATATTCACCTGGCTTTTTCTGTTCAGCCCAGTCTGCCCTGTTTAGGGGCATCTCTGAAGCTCACTGGACAATAAAGAGGTGCCTCCAGCAGCCTCCAGACAGCAGCCCTCTCATTGGTTATTGGAGGCTTGTCATTACCTTGACATGAGTTTAAGCTTGATTGTTTGTTTTTAAAACATTCTCAATTGTGAATGTGCAGGTATTGAATTTCTCAACAGTCTTACAGCCATGACAAATTGGTTCACTGCCAAGGTGTCTCCATTTCAGTACCTGTTTCCCTGAAGAGTTCATTTAGCCTGAAACAGCCTGCTGCAGGTGGGGTGAGGCCAAGGAAAGGTGGGGAAGTTTCCACAGGTTGATCTCTACGATCAGATCTTAATCCATGGGTCTACCTTTATCAAAGATCATTTGTGTGCCCGTGTTTTTAGGTTAATTTCAGTGAGGCGACATGAGGTCCTGTTGAGTCGGCAAAAAGAAAAATGGGTTCATTGCTATCTTTTCCTGCTAACTTAAGCAGCTGCCCAGGCCTAAAGCGTCTTGTTTTGAGTCTCGGCTGTTAAGTTTTCAGGGGTGGGGATCCCCCAGTGAGGTACAGCTGTGGGTGCAGGTAATAGGGGCCAGAGTCTTAGTACAAGCACATGGTGGTGTGGGCTCCACTAGCCCCATCCATCCCCCATCCCTCCCGCCGTCTGAAGCTGACATCCTACTCAGGTTGGTTTGATGGATGGCTCAGTACCACTGTGTGGCCTTGGTATGCCTTCCCGAAAGTGAATTTCAATTAGTTTTCTTTTTTATGGAGAACCTTCCGTTTCTTCTCCCATTTCTCAAAGCCAGAACTAAGGTGGAAAGGTATTCGAAGAGGATGTGCTTACCCCCGAGGCTTTACCAAGAGCCAAAGACATCCGATGCTGTAGTGATTGCCAGTCCCAGTGATTGCTGTGGCTGACTCCTCCTGTTTGGGCACTTGTATAAAAATACCATCCTCTCCTCTTCCCCTCACCCTTGCCCCTCCTGCCTGAATAGTAATGTGGCTTTGTTCCTAATCTCAGTCAACCCCTATGGCCTAGGAGCGGGGTGGGGAGTGGTGAGCCATCAAGAGGCAAGTCTAGGTCCTTTTCAGAACCCTTCCCCCTGGGGTGGAGACAAGCCCAGAAGCAGGGAGGACTCGATTTCCCACCCAGCATTCAGGCGTTAGGACCAGCCCCGCTCTCCCCCGGCCCAGCCAGCCAGCCAGCCAGCGGGGGCTGTCGCTAAACGAGCCTGAATAGGGGTCTGATTGCTCTTTCTCGTCCTCTCCTCCTGATTACCCAGCGAGATTTCCTGGGTATGCTGTATGCTAAATGACAGAGCCGCCGCCTGCCACTTGCTCCAATTATCCTTCTTTTAACTGCGAGGGAAGAGCAATTTTTTTAACTGCTCCCCCCACCCCCCTCCTCACAATAGCATCTCTGCCTCCTTTTAAAGACAGAAGACCCTTATTCCTTGTACCCCCTTTCGGGGGGCGAGAGCAGCCTTCTCCTTCCACCCCAGCCTGCACTCCAGCTGCGGGCTGCAGAGAGGGTGGGCCTTGGGTAAGGCTTGGTCCAGGCTCAGCAGGGTTGAGGGGCGGGCGGGCATTCTGCCAGAAGCCTTCCAGGAGCCCTGAACTTGCATTTGTATCTGGTGATGAGACACCACAGGCCCAGCGCTGGGGGGCTAATCATCTTAATTATCTTTAAGTCCCCTATCTCCCTTCACAGGCTGGCCCAGAGCAGCTGCCGTCAGCTCTGTCCCCTCGTTCACAGGACAGAAGAGGTGGGGTGTGGGCTGTGTGTTAGGGGGATGGAGCTAACATGCCCTCCCCAACGCCTTCTACTGCTCTGGGGTCACTGGCTTTAGAGAAGTGAGGCCCCGGGGGCCGGGGTGGGGGGTGGAAGTGGAGTGAGAGAGGCTTTGGAAGAAGGCTCCTGAGATCAGGCAGCCTTCCTTAGAAAAAGTAATAGTGGTGTTATTTACTATTTTTGAGCACTGCCCCGGCCTGAATCCTAGGTGCTTCCTACGCGTTTTCTCATCT